TCAACTTGTTGCATGTATTGAGACACAGAGGAAGTATAAGTTGGGAAACATAAACATACATCTATAATCCAAAGTGGAAAAAGCCATCCAGTGTCATGGCTTATGAACATTACAATCATTGTAACATTCAGTCACTCCACAAGATAACTACGTATTTCATATTTTTATGAAAAGTAAGGCAAGTACAAAAGAGGTGAGGACACAATGTCTATGAGAAGCCTCTCATAATCGGACTTTGAGACTTGATATGTAATGATCAATTGTACTTTAGTCCAGTTTGCTATGAAAGTGCAACGCAAGAGAACTTCAATTTATATTGCTAGGCACTATATAGAGGATTTATAAATGAAAAAGAATGAAAAGGACTTACATGGGTTTCTAATGTTTGGTAGTAATAATCATAAAGGAATTTTAGTAGGGAAAAGAAATAAATAGAGTAGAATTTAAAAGGTTGCCAATTTTTTCGCTGTCTTTTCTATCATTGACTAACTAACAACACATTGGATTCTTTTCAATGGCTCCATAACACCAAACACTAGACGATATAATTACTCTACGTCTCGTATTCATCTTTTCCCTTCCCTTCTATTCCTTTCAATTCCATTACCGAAATTACCAAAAAAGTTGTAAGACGACTAACTGTATATTTATGCCTTTGCACCAAAAAACAAACAAAAATATTTTCCTTACCAATGTACTAGACCTCATCCAACGATCATTGATGTTCAACTTTCCAACAAATGACCCAACTTGTACCGCTTTTATAGATTGTTTATCCAATGATCTACTCCTTCCGTCCCCGATTGATAGTCACTTATGCCATTTTTGGGCAACCCAAAATGTTAGTCACATTTGCGTTTTTCAAGTACCATTAATATTATTATTTTTACCAAAATTCTCTAACAATTGCAAAAAATATTTGTGCAAATTTAACTTTCCAATGTAAATTTTACTTTCCCATTTACTTTAATTACTTTCTCCCTCTACTTTTTTGCATACCCAATGTAAATTTACTTTTTCAATGTACTTTCTTTAATTCTCTTAATTCCCGTGATTTTTCTTCAAAAGTGACTATCAACCGGGGACGGAGGGAGTATATCTTAACCAGCCCACTGATCATTCATTTGACTTCACAAACTCATACACATTTGACTAAGTTCGTCTAAAAAACCATTCAAACATGCCACAACTTTTAAAATTGTCCAAGTTAATTCCTCTAATATATTTTATAGCAAAGCCTAAACCCATCACAACTTTAAGAAGAGCATCTCTTATGGCAAGCTAATTGTCCAATTAGCTTGCCTTGCCACATAACATTTATAGCTAATTAACTCTTTATTTGATTTGTACCCCAAGCTACTAGCTTGCTATTGAATTATTTTCCATGTGTCAATAAATAGTTGGCTAGCATTCTCCATCCTTTTGTCAAGCAAATTAGCTTGCCCAAGCTAATTTTCGTTTTTAACTCCAATGGTTAAGCTAGTAGCTAACTTGTAATAATTGCAAGCAAAATTCCAACTATAACCGTTGGAGTGCTGTTTAATCTAATTCATGTCCATTGTACCCTTGGACATATCTGACGCATAGTTTGGAATGCTAGGAAGCACAAAAACATCGAGAACTTTAGGTTATTCTTTTTGAAATCCCATTGTTTGTGAATTTACATGCTAACACATCAAATAAAGCAAGTTTTTTAAGTTTGCAAGGTAACCTCATATGAGTTCAAGTAGTTAATGCATAGACAAGCGAGCTTCAAGCTCCACCTTTAAACTTAAATTTCCAAACTTGCCAACTTAAACAAATTCTAAAACTCAATAGAAAGATCAAGCTTTTGCTAAAGCCAGATAAAGATAACCAAGCCTAGAAAGCCGAAAATTACATCCTTACATTGAACCTACCCTTTGCAGTATACACTCAAAAATTTTAAGTACATAACATCTGCCAACTAGCTTAAACACTAAAGTAACTCGAAACTCTAGCAAAATCATAGCAATAAAACTTAGAACCCTGATATTGCAGACACCCAAATATCATTAATCCACATTCAAACAAATGTCTAACTTATGTTTAAAAATCAAATACCATCAAAGTTGTAGAATCAAAGGAATGCCATTTAATTCCCTGAATTCGGATAATCAAAAGCAGAAATAAATTGAATCATATGATTATTAATAAACTTCAAAAAAATTGAGGCAAATGAACAGTAAATAACCGATTTACCAGAATTAGAATCAATGGATTGAGGGTCCCACGGATACGATCCATAATCAAAGTCGAAAGGATCATCAGAAGAAGCTTTAGCTGTCAATCGGAAAAATCGAGAGGAAATAAGAGGTGGAATAAAGAAGGAGAAAGGTTGATGATGAATGTTAGAAGAGAGGGAAGGAGAGAATTGACGGAAGCTTCGAGAAATGGTTAGTAATGAAGAACCAAGTGCAGAAGTTTCCGCCATTGGAGAATGGAGAGAGAAAATTGAGAAGAAGAAAGAATTTAGAGATGAAGTTTAAGAAAGAAAATATTAAAATAAAATTAAAAAAAATGGAGAATGTGGTATCTAATTTGGCTGGATATATGGAGGACGATGGACGCCACACAAGCAGGAGGGAGGAGGGAAAGGGCACACGCGGACCAGATGGAGAGTAATTATATGGTCAAAGATAAGATTCACATTAGACTTGACTTATTAAGAGCAACTTTAATTTAATTGATTTGTAGCTAGGGACTTAGGCCACGTTCTTTAGAGCATTCACATCAATGAGCATTTTTTTTTGCTCATGAGCAAAAATGGTGAGTATATTTGGTAGAAATGGTACTACATCAATTAGGAAAATGAAAAATGCTCATGAGCAATTTAATTATTTTTTGATCACTAGTGGGATAAAATTTCCTCACCAAAAAATGCTCATGAGCAAATTGGTTGGGAAGAGAGAGAAAGTAGCTAGAGAGAGAATGAGCAAAAAAAAATTTGCTCACTAATGTGAGTGCTCTTAGAGCTGCTTTATTCTGCTCAAATTAAATCTGCTCTGCTCAAAAAAATATGTTTTTCTCTATTTTCAAATAATAATTAATAATAATAGTTAATATTCAATAATAATAATTAATATTGTATTGATGATAATAATTTATTATTTTGAATAATTATAATAATTATTAATACTAAAAATAATTTTAATAATTATTTATACTAAAAATAATTTTAATAATTATTTATACTAAAAATAATTTTAATAATTTTAATATTAATAATAATTAGGAAAATTTCACAAGAATAATCCAACCTTTCACCCATTCACCCAAAATAATCCAACCTTTCGATTAACCTTGAATAATCCTAAGTTTACTATATATTTTCTCCTAGCAACCCCAACAGGTCACCTTACCCTTTACAACCGGTTACCATCCACGTGGCAATTTCCGATTAGTCAAAGTTTTATTTTTTAATTTTTTTAAAGAAAAATCTAAAAATTAAAAAAAAAAAAAATTCTATCTCCTTCCCCTTCTTGTTTGTATCTCTCTCCTCCTTCTTCCTCCATTATCACCCACGCACCAACACCACTCAACACACCCATGGGGCACTGCAAACACCACCGCCTATAACCACCACAAACACCACCGACATCACCACTCATCACAAACATTCATGACCAACCCACAATATCAACAACCACTCATAACACAACCGAAAACAACAACCACAACAACCGCAACACCAACGACGTACGACCACCCCAATTCAGCCCAAAATTCAATTGAGAGGGAGAAAAGAGAAGGAAATTGGTGGGAGTTAGGGTTTTGTGTTCTAGGTTGGTAGAATTGGGATTTTGGGTGTATGGGTTAGGGTGGGTTGGTGAATTCGGGTATGGGTTGTTTTCAGCGAGGTGGGATTGGTGGTTGTGAGTCTTGGTCGGAGTGGGTTTGGGTTTGGGTGGGGTAAATGGTGGCGGCTAAATTGCAGGCTAATTGCGAGGTGGTGGCAAGTGGAGGGTTGGTTGACAGGGAAAGGAGGGGCTAGTGGGGCAGATGGGAAAATGGGTGAGGTGGTTCACAGTGGCGGCAAGGTTGAGAGAGGTGAAGGAGCCATTGTTCATGGCAAGAAGCTTGAAACGGTGTTGAATAGCACTACAAGAAAAAGGGGTATTAGCGACCGCCAAAATAGTCGCAAATTCGTCGCAAAAATGGATTTGCGACGGATTAGCAACTACTTTGGTTAGTTGGCAAAGACCTCGTCGCAAATCCATTTTTGCGACTAATTTTTGAACAGTAGAAAATTTGCAACGGATTTGCAACGACTTTGCAACTATCATTTAGCGACTAACTTTCAAATTTTAGCAACTAAATCATTGACCGTCGTAAAATATTAGCGACGGATTAGCGACTACGGAAACTAATGTTTTAAAACTCTTTTTGCGACGGACTAGCAATTACAAGACCAAATTTTGCGACTACGAGACAAAACTTTTGCGACTACAGAGACTAATTTCTTTGCGATGGATTTGCAACTAGAGGCCAAAATATTGCGACGATTGAGACTAATTTGTTTCGCGACGGATTAGCTGCCACGAGACCAAAATTTTGCGACTATAAAAACTAGTTTTTTGCAACAAACTAGCGACTACCGAGTCCAATTATTGCAACATACCAATTAATCTCCATAAGAAATCTACCGTCGCAATATTTTTGCGACGGGCTATTAATATTTGGAGACCTTAATTTAGTGACGACCAAATATCAATAAAAAAAAAAGTACCTACACATATATTCAAATAACCAAAATGTTAATTTTATTCAAATATCCAAAATATCATCATCAATTTTGTATCAATGTATTAAAAAACAATATTAGTAACCATAAGACTAATTGTTTCAAAAATCACCTCTAACATGACAAATAAGAACTAATGATGATATACATTATGAAGTAAGGTGAGAAGTAGGATCGTTCTTGTAGTAAATTTGTGAAGCACTCCCTAAACCATAAACTTTTCTATTCTTTTTTCCCACCTACAACCTCCAATTAGACTTTGTCGGGGTTTATCTCAACTCCTTTTTATATTCCTCAAGTTTATCCATATATTGTCCCTGCATTAAGATATGTATTTGTAACTATGGTCTCAATTGTTAAAACTTAAAAGACTAAAAAAAATAACAACACTTATAATAAAATAATTATTGTAAACAATTATTAGAAAATTTTTTGGCAGATTCTCCTTTGTAAATCAAACAAATCCCTTCAATAGGGTATGGCTTCAAAACCTGTTTCAATTCACATTATGCCATACCACGTTAATCATTTGATTAATGCCCTCATCCTCCAACTCAATCACACAAAAAAATAAATAATCTATAAAATCTAAAAACATTAACTACCATATACTACCTCCGTTACATATTATTTGCAACGATTTGACATAAAGTAGAGAGGAAAAATGTCTAATCGTTGCAAATAATATGTAACGGAGGTAGTATTTTTTTTGTAATCTTAGAAAAATATATAAGTATACTCATACCATGACTTGATGAGTCTTGTCACCCACAATTCAATTTCATTATTGCCCACATCAACAGAATGAGCGCTCTCATATCAGAAGAAGTTGTTAGCACTACAAAAAAAAACAAACATAAAAAGGGGACATATAAAAAGGAATGGGGATTGGCTTTGTTAGGTATTATGTGGTAATTGACTAATTGTATTCTATAATGTTCTTTCTAATTTAATTTACAAAAAGCAGCACAACATCCCCTATTTTCTTTACTGTTCTTTCTGATTTACTTTTCTCTTGCTTTAGTTGTGAGAAATAGAGTGAAAGTAGTAGCAATTAATTACAAAATAAAGGATAATTCATAGACCCTATAACTAATGTCTAATAATAGAGCATAATGCCAAACACCTGATTTATTCCAAAATTTTAAACCAAAAATCTGCTGAACTGCAAAGAACCAAGGAGCTGGCATGCCACGTAGACTGATCACATATACAAGGAGGGGAAGAATGAACAAAGCAGCAGTAGCACATCACATCACACCATGACAACAACCCACCAAGTAAGTGACAGCAGCCCACCAAATTATCACACATAGGACAGGGGTGTAGTTGGGATCATTTGTCAGCATTGTACATATAAAAAGGGGAGAAGGAGCAATGGGATTGGTAGTGAATTTCTTGTGTAATTCAGTAACCCTAAGATTTGTGACTTAAAAGTCACCCTTGTAGTAGTCGTTTTTGCTAAAATGAAACCCATCCCTTTTCCTCAATTTCTTATTTCTTTAAAATTTGCATCTTTATTGTGTGTTGTCTAATTTTCTGGTGAGTAATAGTCTAGTTCATTACATGAACACATAAATAATGTCTAATACCAGCAGATACAATCAGATTGCACAAATAAAGTCAGAGCAAAACAAGAATTCAAAGCAAAACAAGAATTAAGTGCAAAACAAGAATTCAATGGAGTTCGGACGAACCTCAATACACTCCATCCATTAATTACCCAATTAGAATTACACTCTAAGCAACGAAACCCCCTTCTTCAGAAAATATAGGGTTCGAAATAACTAGAATTGGGATTTTTACATTGAAAATAATTAAGGATTTTAGCAAACTTAATCAATTTCGAATGATTTTTCACTAATTTACTTAAATTACACCATGGAAACCAAATTAAAATCAATAATTGGACAAAAATTTCAATGATAACCCTAAAAAATCGTAGTTGGTGAATTACAATAAACGAAAGATAGAAGGGACGTCAAGCGTTTGAACTTACCTTGGAGGAGACATGGTGGCGCAGCGAAGGCAGATGAAGAGCGACGGTGAGGGTTGAATTCTTTAATCTCTGAAAATTTCCTTCTGCATGCTTTTTTTAGAAGGAAGAGTTTTTGTACTTTATAGAACCATTGATGAAAAAATTACTTAAGGCTTTTAAGTGATTGAGTTTTTTTTTTTTTTTTTTTTTTTTTGGACGAGTAAGATAGTAAGTGATTAAGTTAGTTCTTTTTTTGTTTTGTTGGCAACTCCTCATCATATTAAGGGTTTTGTTTTTATTTCTTTTTTATTAAATTTATAAAATAATGGTAATGACTAAGGATTTAGTTGCAACATTAGTCGCAAATTTTAAATTAAAAAGTTAGAAAATCATTATCCCCAACGACTATAATTTATAGTCGCAAATATTATTAGAATGTTGCAATTTAGCGACAACATTGCAACTACTGCAAAATGAGTCGCAAAATTTGTGACTACTCGTCTCTAACAGTCGCAAATATATTTTTTGCGACTGATTACTATAGTAGTCGCAAAATTCAGTCGCAAATTAGCGACTGCGTAGCAACTGGTGCAAAATTAGTTGCAAAATTTGTGACTGACCGTCTTTTTCAGTAGCAAAAATATTTTTTGCGACCGAATAATAGGGTAGTCGTAAATTTCTGTTGCTAATTTATCTTTTTCTTGTAGTGTAGGAGAGAAGGAAGAAGGTGGGGAAAATTAAGGAAAATAAAAAATAAAATAAAAATTAAAAAAAGTTACCTGAAGTTCAGGTAGCCGGTCAAAAAAGCTCGGTGTAAGAAAATAAGTAGTAAACTTAGGATTATTGAGGGTTAATCGAAAGGTTGGATTATTTTAGGAGAAAGAGGTAAAGGTTGGATTATTCCTGTTAAATTTTCCTAATAATTAATATTTATTAATCATAATAATAATTATCAATAATAATATTTAATAATTCAAACTATTAAGAATAAATATTTAATAATATTATTAATTAATAATTTCTAATAATTAATTCTTTTTTAAAAAAGTGAATAATAATAATACCATTTTTTTATTTATAAACATTTGATATTAGATTCACAATGCGTAGATTCCGTCAAAATAAAAAGAATCACAATGTGTAGAAACATTTTATGTGGGTATTGATTGTTAGTTCATTGAGTTGAATTATTTTTCAAATCATTCCACACAATTTAAGAATTAAAAAAAAAGGTTGTTTCAAGTAGTAATTTGTATATCATTATAATTTTGAGGGATAAAAATATATGATTAAGATATATTTATAAGTAAAATTATCATTACTCATTAAATCATTTTATTGGAGAAATTTTTGTGAAATAAATATAAGTAAATCGTTGACTTTTATCTTTCGACTATTAACATATGTTAAATATGGTACATATTTATTTATGTTTTCACTCCCCGAAATCAATCGTATATGCACTTAATAATAATAATAATAATAATAACAACAATAATAATAATAAAAATAATTATAATAATAATAATATAATAATAATAATAATAATAATAATAATAATAATAATAATATAATAATATAATAAAAAAAAAAAAAAAAAAAAAAAAAAATAATAATAATAATAATAATAATAATAATAATAATAATATTCTCTCTAGGTTAGGGCCGATTAGGGCGGTTCAGCTTCTAGCGGTGGTTTCATCGTCCTTAAAGGTCCCGCGAAGGTCTCTCGGCGGTGGTTCTGTTTTCTGGCGGTTTCAGGCAGTAATTCAGCGTTTTCGGGGCGAATTTCCAGGCTATTTCTGGCGTTTTTCAAGCCGATTTTTAACGTCTATTCAAGGGGTTTTCTCAAGCTGCGGCAGTGTTCAGTTTTCTGGTGTTATTGGCGGTATTTTGTGGTAGTTTCTGGAGTTTTAAGGGCGCGTTTTGGTGCAGTTTCGGGGTGCATTTCAGTAGCAGTTTTGAGGTGCAATTTAGTAGCAATTTCGGTGCAATTCAGTAGCATTTTTGGTGCAATTCTATAGCAGCTTCGGGTGCTTCTCGCGGGTGTTTTGTTCTGGGCTGTTGTGGTCTATTTTTGTTCTAGCATGGGTGCTTTTTTTGCAATCAGTTGGTTCGAACTGCTTGTGCTTGGTGCTTCAAGTTGTAGTGTTCGGTCTTTTTATGTGATCAAGTATTACTTTATCGCATTGCTTTGTTATTCCCTTGCGCTGATCAGTTTGTGTTTGGTGTTGCTATATATTGTTGTGCTTCTCTTTGTGGCTGCATACGGGGTTTTTGCATAGTTTTGGTGCTCTTTGTTTTGGTGTGGCTTGTTCTTGGCTAGTGGTGGGTGTTGGTGCTCTTTGTTTGTGGCGGGTTTGTGCCATCAGATTGTGGGTTTTTGTTAGGGTTCTTGCTTTCAACTTTGTGGCTGGTTGTGTGTAGCTTTGACAACTGCTATGGTGGAGTTTCATTGTCCTTTTGTGGGTCTTAGTGGTTGTCAAGATGGAAACGGAAATGGCCTTACTAAAAGTTCTTAAATCAAGCATCTTCATGATCGCCATTGTTGTATTGGTGTGCGGGATATCACACGACATTCTCTTACTTCTAATTTGGTCGTTATACTGAGGCCGAAGTTACTTTTTCCCATATGGGGATTTGGTTATGTGGGTTTTGTTACAAACCTCATACGGTTCGTGCTAAGTGTCGTCATAAGGTGGGTGAGGATGTGTATCGCCCCCTGATGAAGGAGATGGTATTGTTCGTTTTGTCCTTTATAATTTCTCCAATCCACAAGCTCCCTCTTCTCCGGCTTATATTGGACATGTGGATAGTTTAGTGCGAGATCGGTTCGGTGGTTTTGATGTGGCTCTCCTTAATTGTTTGTTCTCAAAGGGGTTTCGTATTGTGAAGTCTATCCCTCCCAAATGTCGTTTGGGGTTTTCTCGGGTTCTTAAAGGTGCTCTTGATAGGTGATCTCTAAGCCTGATGACATTTCTAGTTGGGTCTTGTTATTGGTGTTACCTCTTTGCACCCTTAAAACCTTTCGCCCTCGGAGTAGTCGTGAGTCTAGGTCTTCCGTAAAGCGTCGGCATCAAGAGGAGTGTATTTCTCGTGCTATATGCTCTTGGAGTTCACCAGGTGGTTGTGAGCAGCTTGTAAGGGAAACTTTGGCAGAGGATTCTCCTACTTTGTCGGTGCTTGATGATGAGGACCTTGATTTGGATGAGCGTAATATCAAGCAATGTCGTAGGAAGATTTGTGATGGCCATTACACAGCTGCAGTCCGGGTTCTTTCTTCTTCGGGGGTTGCCCCGTATAATGAGGCCACTCTTACAGATTTACAATCAAAACACCCTTCTTTTCCAGCTCCATCCTTGCCTAATGATATACCTCTTGATCAAATTTATCTCGTTGCTACTTCTGCTGTTGTTTTGGATCGGATTAAGAGTTTTCCGCATGGTAATTCATATGGTAGGGACGGTTTACGTGCTCAACACCTTATGGATTTCTTGAGTGGTGCTGATGTGGCTATCTCAGATGAGTTGGTTGCCTCTATTTTCCGGGGTGGTTAATCTCTTTCTTGCTGACAGATGTCCTATGGAACTAGGAGAGTATATTGCTAGTGCTCCTCTCACACCACTTATCAAGCTCGGTGGTGATATACGTCCTATAGCTGTGGATACTATTTGGCGACGTTTGGTTTCGAAGGTCGGTGCTGTTATGGTTGACCAGTCTTTGAGCAGTTACTTTGATGGTCTTCAATTTGGCGTTGGAGTTTCTTCAGGGGGTGAGGCTATTCTTCATGTTGTGAATCGGTTTATTGAGGATCGTGGTGAAGGAGTTATGTCTTCGATAAGTGCAATTACTAGATATATGAAGGATCACTATTATGGAGATAATAAGTTCATTCTCTTGGGGCGTCATCATCTGTTGCTGGACTATGAGAGATGATCTTTGGGCTAGTAAAATAGTCTAAAGCCCGCTAGAATGGATCCTATGAGGTCACACACAAAGGTATTGGGTTAAGCAAGTAAGAGGCCCATTAATGGGCCTTATGAGCATTGAACTAATCACGAATAGGATTGGGCTAGTGTAGTTTAATTGGGATTAGGAAGTGGGCTTTGTCATGGACTCTTATTTAGAGATGTGATCTATAAATAAGATCCATGCCTAGGGTTGAAAATATAGAAGTTACAATTAACTTAGAGTGAATTGTGAATCAAGGCAACCAAATCCCAAATACCCTAACCTCCCTCTCTCTCTCACGACACCCCTCTCCTTTTCCCTTGGACTTGCGGACGACAATCCCTGGTGGTGCTCGCGGTGGTACGTGACTAGTTCGTTGTTCATACTTCTCCGTAGAAAGTCGATTGAAGAGTTCGATCCCGACTAACTAGCATTAGTGGAGGTCTTAATCCGTGCCTGTGGACCAAGTGGAGGAATCACGTTTGAGGTTCTTTGTCTCCCTTGTTCTTGCTCGATTACTAGTGGAATCACGCTTCAAAGGTATAATTCTTAATCTTTATGTGTTATGCATGAGATCCTTGTGACGAGGGTTAAATCGGTCGCTACAATCTAACTCTCAATCAAACAATACTTATACGAACACCCTATAACCAAGTACAATGGCAAATAAAGGTTCGGTCCACGAGGAACGAGAGTAATTGGAAATCAATCTTAAACCTAAGCTAGTTCGAAATCAATGGAAAATGGTGTTCTAAAATACTACTAATAAGATGGGATAAACCAGATAAACTAAGACACTAGGGAAGACGGGAATTCACCAAACCATCGGTAACTACGCAACAAGGAATCACAGAGACAAACGGGATATGCAAAGACTATATGTCTGATCAATATCATGAGGTAGGAAGACAACGGGCAATATTAAGCTTGGATTTCTCATGCACTTAACATTACTCGATACATAATCAAACCACATTCAACAATGAAATACTCAATTCACAATCTCTTGTTCAAATCAAGGATATCATGCAATCAAATTCAAGATTCTAGGTTAGCTACTCCTATTATAATGAATTAACATGCAATCGCATATAATCAATTTAATCACAATCCGTTTATCAAAATCAATCCTCAATTACATAGGTTACCTAGGCCGGGTTTCATCCCGAAACCCTAGCT